CAGGAAAAATCTTCTGCTGTTGATCAATTTTACATTGTTAAGTAAAATAGATTTCATAATTCAACTTCATCTAGTTGTCTTTCCAACTCAGCTCTGTCCTGTAAGCTGAGGATGCAACTGAAGAACTGATGGCAGCAGTAGATCCAGATCCAGTCCTCTCTGGATTTATGTTCTCAAGCACCTTACAAAAAAGATTTTCAAAGGGAACAGAAGCAGGATTATTTTTAACTCTGCCGTTAAAGCAAAGGTGTTCAGAAGTGATAAGTGGTTTTCAACCATCCTGATACTTCAAAGGAGCTTGTTTTCAGAAAGCATCCATTTAAAGTGAAGTCACTTGTCCCTTTTGAAAATCTTGATCAAAAAGGACCTGGATTGGTTTGGTACTGGGACTGCGCCAGGTTTTTGCCATTCAACATATCCAGTGTCATGAAAATCAGGAAGATTTAAGAAAGGGCTAATGGATGCTAATTCCAATACTACTCACCTTCCTACAGAAAATATGAAACCATTCTCTGGTCTTTCTGCTTTTTTTAAACAATGAGGTAGATAACTGAGGAGTTACGTTTGCTTCTGTCTAAGGGGTTACTTTTCAAGTTTTATGGTTGTAAGAGTGAAAGGGCCTTACATTTTTCAGTTAGTGTAGGTTGCAAAATTCTTATGTTTTGTACGGAAGGGCAGGTTGAGCTGAAGTAGTCAGTAGCATTTTTGGGTAGTTTTCCAGGACAGTCCCAGCTCTCCTACACCCAAAGATAACAGGGAGCAAGTGTCCAGCAGTAGCTAGACACTGAAGATGAGACATGTCCAAACTCTGGATTGGTTAGTCATTAGCCAGCCCTGTATGACACTCTCAGAAGAAGCTATGAAGACAGTCCAAGGTAAAAGTCAGTCCCGGTGACTGTTTTACTCCTGGTTAGATGGTCTGTAGGGAACAGAATACGAGCAAGCATTTGACTTTGTGTTGTGACATATTTAGTGTACAGCTGTAGGTCACAGTCCTGCAGCTCCACGTGCTCAAACACGGACCCTCAGAGAAGCTCAGCCTCATGCTGGCTGCAGGATTAGTGCCAAATTAAGTTAAGCCATGCTGATAAAAACTCACATGGGTTTAAGGACAGTATTGCTACCACTCAGACTGCAATAAGTAGTTTACATAGTACCTCATCCTAAAACTGGAGCAAGAAGCAAAATGAGCGTCAGTCCTGCATCCAGCACAGTCAGCAAACGACTGTGCTTTTGCAGGGGCTGGAGAACTAAGGAGTTATTGATCCATTTATCCAGTGCTGAGGTTTGTTTAGTAAACAAGAAGAACTGAGGCAAGCACCATACTTTTTACAGTTTGCCCCCATGTATCTCTTAAGCTAGGCTTGAATCTGGGTGTCAAGAAGAAAGTAGCAACCTCTTTTCACTTATGCCCTGCGGTAGAATGAGGGGAAATGCTTAGAAGCTGGAGCACAGGAAGTTCCACCTCAACACATGGAAGAACTTCTTTACTGTAAGGGTTCCAGAGCACTGGAACAGGCTCCCCTGGGAGGTTGTGGAGTCTCCTTCCCTGGAGACTTTTAAGACCCGTCTGGATGCGTTCCTGTGTGACCTGCCCTAGACTAGATGGTCCTGCTCTGGCAGGGGGGTTGGACTCGATGATCTCTGGAGGTCACTTCCAAACCCCTAACATTCTGTGGCTCTGTGACTGCCTGCAGGTGAGCCTGGCTCAGTCAGGAGACATGACATATGATGTTAGTCATTTGTCCGCTCTGTTTTCAAAGGAAGGCACCAATTGAGATTAGTTTTCATTCTGCTGTAGAAGACTAAGCCTGTGGCTTTATGTCTGCTCCATCTTCTGAATCTTGGCTCTTCTGTGTTGTATCTCCTGTGTTGTAACACAAGTTTGCATGCCCAACCTAACTGAACAAAAGGGAACGAAGGAACAGACTGAAGTCCTGGTTTATCTTTCCATGTTAGTGGCAGATATGGGTAACAGTACTTGGGCTGGCACTAATAAAAATGACTATTTCAATTAGCAAACCCTTTCTATGTCCATTAGTAACAGCACAATATTCACTAGGCTGATAGATCTTGGTCAGAAATAATTTAAACAGTAACCAGAACTTGGAGCTTTTCACTCCCCTTTTGGAAACTTCTGTTGATTCCATAATTCACACACATAGGTGTGTAATTCAAGAATCACAAAGACAGTCCTCTTGGTTTAATTTAATCCTAACTTGGGTGAAGAGAGTAAGTAGCAATAAACCTGAGATTTACAGGTAAAAACCTCACTTTCCAGTCTTAGGTTGCAAATGTGCACTGGCGTACACCAAGTGAGTAACTCACTAGTGTGTGCTCAGAGTTCACAGCATAAGCATTTGCCAAGAAAACTGTTTATTGCCAGTTGAACATTAACACAGCAATTGCTTTTTAAGCAGATTTCCTTGGCTGACCGTGTATTTGCATTAGTATTTATCATTTATTTTTGGCAGTACCCAAAGTGCAAAATATTCCAAAAACCACTGAAGGTGGGATGTTGTTGACCCCTGCCCTGTAATGCTCAGGGGTAGAATGTGGAGACAAATGCTGAAATGACATTGTCAGCAGAATGTGGTTCCCAGGACCGTGGCCATTGTTATCCTTTGCATTGATTTTAGCTAATTTTATCTCCAGTTACTCATCCAGTCTGTCATCATGGATGGAACTTACACAAATATTTATAATTATGTAAAAATAATACTAACTAACTGTCAGTCCAGAAACCTGCCAACATTTGCTTTGCAAAAGAAAGTTTTCTAAAAATGAAAATACTTAAGAGCAGAAGAAATGTCCTAATGATTTTATCACTCTTGCTGTCCAGGAAAGCAGGTCACTTTTGGAGGGGGAAAAATACTAAACGAAGCCCAGCTAGTACTGCATAGATTTCTAAATCTATGAATTCTTGCTCAGTTTTAATTTGTCATTAAAATGTTATTTATTAGAAGACTAGAGCTGGTGATCATGTGTACTATACATGCAGTAGTAGATGACAGTATGTATACACTCAGCCAGCAGTACCCTTAAATAACATGAAAGCCTCTCCTGCCTTTGCCCCAGTATATATTGTCCCACTAAGGTGGACATCTCTATGATGCAACCTCGTAGCCCCAACCCATTGACCATTTGAATGTCTTCTGCCATCTCACGCTGATCCTGAGGGAACCGGGAGGTCATAACATTATTAGATTCTCTTCATGGGATTGTTTCATACAATGTTATGATGAGTGTCTTTAAATCAAAATGAATTTATATGTTACTTCATGAACAGAAATTGTTTATCTTTACCTATCCTGCTTCCAAACCATTTCTATATTAACAGACCACTGGTGTTTACCCCGTTGCATGATTTTGGGTAAACCCTGCTGGGGGTCAATGAAGTAAGAACAATACATGCTTTGTGCAGCTGGAAAATAAAGTTATTCTCCTTTTGGTACCTTCCAGCCTTGGAGAGTGCTCCTTGTAACCACTGCCAGTCACCCTCTGTGGAGACTTCATAGGCTATGAACAAACCAGGGTGCAAGCAGTGAACAGGGAGAATCCAACTGCCTCAACTGTAGTTTTGTAGTTATCTTTTGGTGCTAATCATCCCACTGAGACTTGAGCTAGACAACCAGCCTCCTGGCTATCTTAGTTTTTCCTGGCCAGGTAATGTTAGATTTCTTTTAACTCCATTGAACTGGCTTCTAGAGCTATTCAAAGCAGAAAAAAATCTCTGAGGGAAGCGTTTAACTGCAATCCCCACTGCATACTTTAGAAGAAAACCCTCAACTGTTTCACAACTCCATGTTCTGATTTCCAGCACAGC